GGATCGCCGTCAAGAACATCCTGAAGTACTTGAGAAGGACTAAGGATGTATTCTTGGTATACGGTGGGTCGGAAGACGAGCTCGCTGTAAAGGGTTACACCGATGCTAGTTTCCAGTCAGACCCGGATGACTACAGATCGCAGTCTGGCTATGTTATCTGCTTGAACGGAGGCGCTGTTAGCTGGAAGAGTTCTAAGCAAGCAACCGTTGTAAATTCTACTACAGAAGCTGAGTATATTGCAGCGTCGGACGCAACAAAGGAAGCTGTTTGGATCAAGAAGTTTTTTGGCGACTTGGGTGTCATTCCTAGTGCTGATTACCCCATTGCATTGTATTGTGACAACTGAGCGATCGCACAAGCAAAAGAACCCAGATCTCATCAATGATCCAAACACATACTCGGACGATTTCACCTTATCAGGGAGATCATAGACAGAGGAGACGTGCACATTTGCAGAGTGTCGACAGATTACAACATTGTCGATCCGTTGACGAAGCCTCTCCCTTCGTCGAAGCATGATGGTCATGTTAGGGATATGGGCATTAGATGTTTAGTAGTCCATGATTAGAGCAAGTGGGAGATTGTTGGTTTGGTGCTCTATATTGTACTGTTATGTTAGCTTTATTTAGATACATTTTTATGTATTGACACTTTCTATGGTTTTATGGATGAGTGTTTGATTCATTACGTATTGTGCATGTTTATGAGCTTTCTTTAGATACATTTGATGTATTGATACTTTCTATGGTTTATGAGAGTATTTGATTCATTACATGTTCTTGCAAACTAGATGTATTATGAAATCCATGTATCATTATGAATGATACTAAACTCCCTAGTCTTGTGTCGTTATGGGAATAACGACATAATAAGACTAGTATGATGTGTGATTGATGATCATATAGATGATCATAGGTATTGGATACGATCACAATCATAGGTATTCGTTGGAGAACAGAATACTAGATTGACCCGCATGAGATTGTCACATGGACTAGCGTCATGACTTGAATCTCATATGACGGTTCCATGATTGGATCCTAAGATCTGAGATATCTACGGAATCCAACATGAGGAGTTGCGTACTTTGAATACGTCAAACGTCCTGCGTAACAGGAGGACTATAAAGGCGTGTATTAGGTGCGAAACGAATCATGTGCTGGGTTGTAAATAGTCAAGACGGGATTTGTACCTCTCGTAAAAGAAAGAGATATCGCTGTGCCCCTCCTGTGAGTGAGACTGTGAAATGTGTGGCTGCACTATAGACGAACATCGTCTATTTCACACAGTCAAACTCAATGAACGAGAAAGCAGTCGAATCAGATAAGGTGGTTTGTCCATGCCTTATGTTCGACATATGATATCGCGATACAAAAGAATCATCAGCCGGAATCATCACTGGCGTTCGTAAGATCACGAACAAACTCTATTTGAGATAGATAGAGTGTGTTGCTAGAGACCGCCTATGACTTGTATATCTAAAATAGAGATTTCGGATTATTTTGTTATATCAAATAAGCTACATGGTCACACACGCAGGCAAGGACAAATGCACGAGAAAAACGACGAAAAACCGAGTCGGAAGGGTCCAGACCGAACGGTCCGACGGTCCAGACCCGAGGTCCAAAATCGTGGTCTGTCCGTTCCGTAGTCTGGAATGGACGGTCCACGTTATGATGCAGACCGTCCGTTCTACACCTGGAACGGACGGTTCGCATGCAAATCCAGACCATCCGTTCCAGGCTTCGGATTTTTCAAAAATTAGACCGAAATTAGAGTTAAAACACCTTATAAGAAGGAGATTAAAAACCCTAATTAAGGAGGTGTCTTGGGATCCGTCTAGAGCATACTTTTGACATATTTTTGGTGAGATCCAAAAAGGTCCAAGAGTTTCTAAGTCTTGTTTTCTCGAAGCATCATACCGAATAGCTGATTCGGGTCCTAGCAGACAAGTTCCAACAGTTGGAATCCATCCCGAGGTGTGGATACGTGTAGAGGGCGAGGTAATCTTCCTGCCTAAAGTGATCGAACGAATTCTTCAGTTGATACAGACCCTGGATCGATTGAGTTAAGCGTTCTAACGTTTCTACGATTCATACATGCATGGTTCTAGGGTTCATATAAATTTTTGTTTTACATCCGCTGCACAAACTCTAGAATCGATCTCTTAGGAATAGGATTCACTCTAGAGATCCCAGGAATCCCAACACGGACATACACGAATGGACAGAATTCAGAATGAGATCAGTATTAGAGAGAAACTAGAAGTCGTAACCACAGGAAAAAAAATTACGTGAGAGGTGTTTAAGGTGGTTTGGGCACGTAAAACGTTGACCGCTCGATACTCCAGTTAGAAAATTAGAGAGTATAAGGATGAAAGTGAAAAAACAAGGAAGGGGTAGGCCTTGTGTTACTTGGCAACGAGTCATTAGAAATGATTTGGATGTGTTGCAAATTTCGGAGGATATAATGCAAAACTGAAATGAGAGGACAAGAATGTTGAAATAGAAACAAAATATGGAGATTTGATATGATTGATAACAATTAAAGGCATAATATCGATTAAGAATAAAATATATATCGTGATAATTATATTTTGTCTTATTTGTTTCTTTCGTATCTTTATTTCCTTGTTTCTTTCAATAATTTTTTCTATAAATGTATGGATTATTTTCATTGTAATGTAACAAGAAGAAGAGATGTAGCAATAAAAGTGTTTCCGTTCTTTTATCTTTTGTTCTTTCTTTCTAATTTAATTTCCGCATTTTATTTTTCAATATGGTATCAGAGCAGCGTTGCGATCTGAACTATATGTTTCTTTTTTTCTAATTTTCTAATCTCTTCTTTCTCTTGCGTTTTGAATGTTCATATATCCAAATCGTTCAAAGGGGAGTAAAAAAAAAACCAGATTCAAACGATGTGCTATGACAAAAAGAAGTCAAAGCTAAAAACTCTAAGATCAAGCAAGATGCTATGACAAAAAGAGTTAAAGCTAGAACTTTAAAGTCAAGCGAAGTGATTTGGAAGAGGTTAATACTCTCTAAATGAATGAAATTTGGTTTCTATGGATTGTTCTAATAACAGTGAAGTTTTTCATCATTTTGTTGTATCTTCAAGATTGATTTTGAAACTTTCAAAATCAATCTTGAGGGGGAATGTTGAAATAGAAACAAAATATGGAGATTTGATATGATTGATAACAATTAAAGGCATAATATCGATTAAGAATAAAATATATATCGTGATAATTATATTTTGCCTTATTTGTTTCTTT